GGTCCGTAGTTCCGGGGCGCGCGGCTTGCTGGGGGTCGCGGGAGCCGGGGGTGGGGGGGCGGAGAACGACTCTTTTTTTTTGGCCTAGGCGGGAACCCTAGCGTTGTTTTGATTGGCAGGATCCGCACTCAGGGACAAGCCTTACTCTGATTGGCCAAGCCACCGCGTTTTCGCGCGGGGATTGGCTTACATAAAAGCAAAGGCGGGGCCAGGAGAGGAAGCTTAGTGGTCTAGTCTGAGGTAGGTAGCTTGGCGCCACTTGCGGGTGCTGAGGCTCTGTTGGTAAGTAACTTCCGGCTCAGGCGACCGTTGGCCCCGGGCAGGCGGAGCACTTCGTGTCTGCCTTGCCGAGCCTCGTCTGAGGGAACTTTAGTGCTGTGTGAGCTCAGGGAGTCCCCAAATCGACTCTTTTTAACAGGCTTTTACATCCGGGTCTTTGCTCCCGGGCCGTCCTATGGGCGCGTAGGCCAATGGGAATCGTGCCATTTAGGATGCTCCGCCTACTGCGTCGCGTAGAGCATCCTGGGACTCGTAGTAAAACAACCGAGTTTCCTCCGCACGCGGGCGGAAGAAGCGGGGGTGTCTGCGCGCTTTGTTGCTTAAGCTGTACCTCCCGCCTCTCTCAACTCCGTTTTACTTAACTTCCTCTAAAGGAAGATTTCGGAGCAGCCCATTCAGGCGTGTTGGGACAAAGGATTTGAAGACACCCTGGACTAAAGTCATCTCTTTTATTAGGCGCTACCTCGTCACCTCACTCCATGGCCGTTCCTGAGACACGCCCCAACCACACTATTTATATCAACAACCTTAATGAGAAGATCAAGAAGGATGGTGAGTCCTGGGGAGAGTCCAGACTCTAGGCTACCCTGAACGAGCTAGCTCCTCTTCTAGTGTTTTTCTCAGTATTCTTCTCCCAAACTGTTCAGTTAGCCTTTTGGCCTCTGCACATGCTCTTCCTGTCTTCCACACTCCATTAGTTCCATTTTACTCTCTGCCTGTCACTGTTGCCTATCCTTCAAGGTTTTAGCTTACAGGACCTCCTCCAGGAAGTCCTCATCCCTCTCTCCCCCTTGGGGTAGCTGCCACTAATTTCCCATATGTCCTGGGCATTCCTTTTCAAACTCTGTTCTAACTGGGGTGTTATGGACCTTTCTCCCTCATGACCAGCAAGCTATGTGAGGGCAGGGGCTGGGGTACTCTTGGTCACCAGTATTGTTAGTGATCAGCCCACAGTGAAAATGTGTAGTAATAACACTAGCTAACACTTTGTACCAGAGGGTGATTCTATATGCTTTTACCTTTAATTCTTTTTTTATTTTTTTTTGGAGAGGTCTTTGCTATAGGGCACCTGCGCTGGCCAGAAAGACAGAGACAGAAAACGAGAAATCACCCCATCCCCCCCCCGGGGGGGGGATTGCCACACCGCAATCCCTTCTCCTCCATTCTCCTCTTGGGATCTTGGGCACACACGCACATGTGCCCAGTGTGAGTTTTAGTCACCAGGTCCTGGACTCAAACCGCGATTGACTACATTGGGAGTCCAGCGACATAGCCATTACCCTAACTGCTGGTCCCGACTACCTTTAATTCTCAAAACAAGCCAGTAGGAAGGTATTATTTCTGTTTCTCAGATTAAGAAACTGAGAGTAAAGGGCAATGTAACTTGCTCAAGGTCACATAGCAAGGAAAGTGGGTGAGGCTACTGCTGTAGAATTCTGTTTAGGAACTCCATTCTTGGTCCAGGTGTGCACAGGCAGTGAGGTCACTGCTGCTCAATGCTGGAAACCACGTGGAAAAGATCCTAGGTCTACTACAACAGCCTCGTGTTCCCTTGGTTGAGGCTAGGATTGCAGTGTGAAGATCACGTCCAGGGGGACCAACAGGTGGCGTGTTAGTTAAGGCGCTGGATGCTCCTACATAGCTGACCATGGTTCAAGTCCCTTACCTAGCTTGCTTTCTCACTTTCCCTCTCTCTGTGTCTCTGGTCAAATTGAAATGAATAAATAAAATAATTCTTTAAAAAAAAAATGACCATGTCCAGGGTGCTTGTCTCTCCTCACGAAGGAAATAAATAAATTTTTTTAAAAAAAGTTCAGTTTTAGGGCAAAAGAATAAATAAAATAATTCTTTAAAAAAAAAATGACCATGTCCAGGGTGCTTGTCTCTCCTCATGAAGGAAATAAATAAATTTTTTTAAAAAAAGTTCAGTTTTAGGGTTAGCAAGTGAAGTGGAAGTTAAGGTGCTGTATCCCACATGGCTGATTTTGTGGTTAGAGTCTGGGATCTGACTGCTTCAAAAATTACATAGCGATCAGAGAGTGTTGGGAGTCGCAGCACTGCGTGTATACCCAAAGTCTTGAGAGGAATGTCTTGAGAAGAGATGGCAGTGTGGCCGTTCCCACTTCGGGGTGATTTCTCATTTTAAGTTAGTTTATTTCTTCCACAAGTAAGAATGAGAGAGAGCACATCAACAGGGTCATGGTGCCACTATCCACTCCCAGCGTTAGCCAGCCCCAGATCACGTGCACATGTGTGCTAGGCATACTTTGGGAGATTTCTGAATGGGAAACCAAACCCACTGTTGTGGGTCAGCCTCACAGAACATCATATTTTACTACTGTGCCACTGTTTGTCCCCAAATTACTGTTTTTATCCAATAACTTTTTTTTTGAAAAATTTTTGCCTTAGGGCATGGGCAGTTGTTGGAGAGCCAGACAGAGACAGTGAGAGGGAAAGTGAGAAATCACCCCTCTGGGGGGGATGGCACACCACAATCCCTTCTCCATTCTCTCAGGATCTTGAGCACACATACACACGTGCCTGGCATGAGTTTCAAGCTGCTGGATCCAGGGCTCGAACCATGGCTGGCCATGTGCGAATCCAGTGATGTAACCACTATGCCACTTGCTGGCCCCAACATATATATATTATTTTTTCTTTTTTTTTTTCAATTCTACTATAGGGTGTGTATGCTCACCAGAGAGAGATCAGGGGGAAGGGAAAGAACATCCCTAGTGGGATTTGCCACGTCACAATCCTTTCTCCATTCCTCTTGGGATTTTGGGCACTGCCAATATGCTTTTGAGTCTGGGACTTGAATTGCATAATCAGCCATGTGAAATTCAGTCTTCTTAAAGACCACAACACCAGCTGGCCCAAATGTCATTTTCTATATCTGAGAACTGGGTTTTACCTTTGCATGGATATGGTGGATATTAACTTAGTTAGACCTCCATGGTACTGTACCACCAGATGGTGACATTCTAGAGTTGTCAGGCAGGGCGTGATGAGGGAAGCACAGACAGAGTGATCAGGGCTGAGATCAGTAAGCCTAGGAAGAGGGGCCCAGCCTCTGGTGCAATTGATAGTGTGCTGGCCTTTAGAGCTATACACAACATACCAACTGCAGTTCAAGCCCCTGGTCTAGTTGGCCTAAAAATACACAGAGCTCGGGAACCAGCAGTTAGCGTAATGGCTATGTTGCTGGACTCCCATGTAGTCGACCGCGGTTCGTGTCCCGGGCCCGGGGGCCTAAAACTCATGCCAGGCGCGTGTGCGTGTGTGCCCAAGTTCCCGAGAGGAGAATGGAGGAGAAGGGATTGCGGCATGACCATCCCCCCTGGGGGGTGATTTCTCGCTTTCTGTCTCTATGTCTCTCTCTCTGGCGAGCGCACGCGCCCTACAGTGAAAATCTCTCTTAAAAAAAAAAAAAATACACAGAGCTCATCTGCATGTGCCCAGGATTTTGGTGGACTGGAGAAAGGGGATCACAGTGTCACAACCTGTGGAGGGTACTTTACCTCCCCCAACATTGCTTGCACTGTGTCCTGAATGAAAAAGATAAAAAGACGGATTCATTCAGTTTTATAGAAGAGGAAACATTTTGGAATAGCCCTGCAGATAGAAGAAGCAGTGTTTATGTTAAGAGAAAAGTGATCCTAACTTGAACCACTTTGTGCAACTGTATAGGGGCTAAGGAGCCTTGGACGTTCTGAAACTGAGCAGTTTCTTATGTCTGAGACCTAGAAGAGCTGTGTGAATCATGGAGAAGCTTCCAGTGAGTTGATGTCTCACTGTTCAGGGTACCTCCTGGGCAAGGCATTGGACTTCGTCCTGAGGGCTCTGGGAGCCATGCTACTCTACCCTGTCTTGACCTTGTCCCTCATGGAAGAGTTTCCTGGCTGTGGATGGTAAACTTGAGCAGGCAAGAAGAGTGGCTGGAAAGTGGGGAGTAGCTTCCTCCAGTCCACTAGGATCCTGGGGGCACACACATCCCAGTAGAATGATTGAGGCCATGACCTATGAAACATAGTGCTTGGAAAAAAAACTAGAGACTTCCCCACCTAGAGAATTTTGGGCTAATCACTTCACACCAGCAAACCACCCCAACACATGCTTTCTTTTCTCTCCCTATTAGCTCACCAAACAGCTTCGTCTCAGTTATCTTCCCTGCATTAGGTGTTGGTAACCTGTTCAGGCCTGGGTGGTGAGAGAGGTCCTTTTTTAGTATGAATCCCACTTTCTGTCCAGTGAGGCAATTTGCTGGTGAGTTGTGGTGGTCCCAGGTTGGGATGGATGCAGTCTCTGCCTGATGCTCTTAGTATACTTGCCCAGGGCCATGATGAATTTTCTGAGAGCCTGTTTCCCTCTTAGTAAAATTGGAGTGGTCATGGGACCAGCAAATGTGTAATGGCTATATCACTGGACTCCCACGTAGTCAACTACAGTTTGAATCCCATACCCTGCAGCTTAACTCACACCGGGCACATGTGCATGCTTGCCCAAAATCCCGAGAAAAGAACAGAGGAAAAGGGATTGTGTGTAGCCATCCCCCCAGGGGGGTGATTTCTCGCTTTCTATCTCTGTTTCTCTGGCAAGTGCACATGCCCTATAACAAAAATCTATCTCTGAAAGAAAAAAAATTGAGATGGTCATAGTTGTTACCTTATAGGGTTCTAAGGCTTTATTTAGTGCAGCAGTTAATGGTGTCTGTATTTGTAAATGTCTAAACAAGTACCAAGCTCTTCAGGAGGAGTAAGAGGTGACAAGTCATGATGTCAGGAGGTGGAAAAGGGGAAGGAAAAGCAAGATTAAGAGTGGGGAGAGGTACATGGGGGGACGTTTGGATATAGTGGTTAGAGGACCTTTCTGAGCTGGTAATATTTCTGCTGAGACCTAGGTGACTAGAAGGAGGTAACTGTATAGACAGCAGAAAAAAGACATTCCTGGTAGAGAGCTAGAAGGCCAGTGTGACTGGACACTACAGGCAGAAGGCTGAGGGTAGGCAGAGATCAGGTTGGGAGGTCTGTCAGGTCCACGTCGCACAGGCCTATGTCAGGATTCTGGTGGCAATGAAAAGAAATGCTCTTGTTAATTGAGTGTTCACTGTGTGCCACTTGCTGTTCTGAGTTCTTTGTATGCGTGTACTCAAGTTCCTCAGACAGCAACTCTGGGGCAGTTACTGTTATTGCCTATATCTCCTCCCCCCTTTTTTATATATATTTTTTTAAAATTTCAACTTCTTTTAAAAATATGGAATGTTTCACAAATTTGCGTGTTATCCTTGTGCAGGGGCCATGCTAATCTTCTTTGTATTGTTCCAATTTTAGTATTGGTCCAATTTTAGTTCCAATAGTGCCAAAGTGAGCACTATGTCTTTTTTTTTTTGGTTCTTAAGCTCACCAGAGGGATAGGAAGGGAGTGGGAAAGCAACCCCTATGGAGGCACGGCCATGCCCAAATCCCTCATAGTTGGGGTTTGGGGCATGCACTCATATCACATGCACCCTGTCTGTTTCTCAAGCCACTGAGTCTGGGACTTGGTGCAGTTGGCTATGTGAAATTGGTGCTCTTTTTTTTTTTTTTTTTTTTTTTTCTAAGAGGTTTTTGCTATAGGGTGCATGCACTCGTCAGAAAGACAGAGAAAAGAGAAACAGAAAGTAAGAAATCACCACCCAGAGGGGGTGGCCATGCCGCAGTCCCTTCTCCTCCATTATCCTCTTGGGATCTTGGGCATGTATGCACATGTGCCCAGTGTGAGTTTAAGCCACCAGGTCTGGGCCTTGAACCACAGTCGACTACATAGGAGTCCAGCAATGTAGCCATCGCTCCATCTGCTGGTTCTGAAATTGGCTCTCTTAACCACTGGGCCTACTGTTCACATCTTGCAGAACAGTGAATTTCACCATTTGAATGGTTCTTGGCTGCTGTAGTTATTACTGGGTTTTGGGAGATAACTGGCCCATGGCATTCTGGGTACTCTGCCAGTTGGCTAATCAGCTCTCATCTGGGCTGCGCTTGTTCTTAGAAAGGGGGCTCAAGCCCCAAAATATGGTATTAAGGCATCTTGTTACCTGTGGGTCTTTCTTCCCCCACTGCAGAGCTGAAGAAGTCACTGTACGCCATCTTCTCCCAGTTTGGCCAGATCCTGGATATCTTGGTGTCACGGAGCCTGAAGATGAGGGGCCAGGCCTTTGTTATCTTCAAGGAGGTCAGCAGTGCCACCAACGCCCTGCGCTCCATGCAGGGCTTCCCCTTCTACGACAAACCCATGGTAAGTGTTGTGAGCATGGAAACTTGTATGTGCAGAATACTAAAGGATGTTGGATGGGCCTAGACTGCCTGTCTCCTGTGGTCCAGTTTTTGAGGACAGGACTTTCTCCTGCTGGGCTTTAGCATTCACTGTTCCTTATGCTAGGGGTGTAGGGAGCCCTCAGCCCTGTCTTTCCAGACCCATAGTCCAGTCAGGGAGACATGTTTGTCACCAGCTGATGACAACTCACAGGGATCAGGGCCAGATTTGAGGGAGAAGTGATGGAATGGGGAGGTGCACAGAGCTAATATAGTTGAGGGCAGGCACCTCATCCAGTTTGGGGTTCAGGTAGGGACTTTTGGATGAAGTGAGCCTTGAAGGAGGAGCATTAGTTGGGTGGCAGGAGCGAGTGTTTGGGCAGAGTCTGCGTGGAGGTAGGCCCAGAGATACATGTAATTGGGGACATGTGTCAGATTTATTTGTCAGGAGGTAGGTGGGCACTGCTAGCCGAGGATGTCCTGTGTCAGGCTAAGACATAGGAGACCAGGCTAAGACATAGGAGACCATCTTAGAAGTAGACTTTTGACTTGAGCATGCTGAGGAACCATGGAAGGGCTTAGGAAGATGCCTTCAACTATTGAGTAGAGTATTTTAGACTAACAGTCCCCTTCCATAGAACTCTTGTCCTAGCATTTTCATCTTAGGCTTCTGGCTTTGACCTGATGTTCAGGGCTGTCTCATCTTCCCTTAAAAATGCCAACAACTGAGACCAGTGGATGGCATAATGGTTACATTGCTGGACTCCCATGTAGTTGACTGTGATTTGAGTCCCGGACCAGTGCCTTAAAACTCACACCGGGCGTGTGTGTATGTGTGCGTGCCCAGAATCCCCAGAAGAATGGAGGAGAAGGGATTGCAGTGAGGCCATCCTTCCTCCCTGAGGGGTGATTTCTTGCTTTCCTTCTCTCTGTCTCTGTCTCTCCGGCAAGCACATGCACCTGCTAGCAAAAATCTCTTAAAACCAAACCAAACCAAACCAAAAAAAAAAAAAACCAAACAAAACAACAACTGGGACCAGCAGATAATGTCGTGGTTAAGGCACTGAACTCCCGCATGTCTGACTGTGGTTCGAGTCCCGGACCTGGCAGCTTTCCCTCTCCCTCTCTCTCTCTCTCTCTCTCTCTCTCTCTCTCTCTCTCTTTCTCTCTTTCTTTTTTTCTTGTGCACGTGCCATATGGCAAATTAGAAAAATAATGATAAGAATAATAAATAAATTTAAAACAAAGAAAATAACAACTGGGGCTAGACTGGCACACTGTTAACATAGTGCTCTTTCTTGCTGACTCATGTGGGAAGATTTAGGGTTCGTGTCGAGACCTCCTTGAAATAAAGTGTGCAAGTACCTATGATTGGGGCTTCCTGGGGCTGGGAGTGGATCATGATGTGAAGACGTTGTCAGGAGTCAGGTGCCTATTTCTCTTTCTCTCTACCTTTCTTACTTATGGAAGAAAGAAATGTAAAAAACATATGGACAACCTGTCTACCTACTGAGCGTTTACTGTGTTTACTGTCAAGTATTGTGTTGAACACTTTTACTCATTTTGTTCTCAAAATGGTGCTTTGCACCAGTAGATACCACAGTAGATACATTGGGTCGGAGCCAAGCAGTTTTTATAACTTTCTCAGCAAGCTCCTGGTAAGGTCTCATTTAGAATCTAGGCAATTTGACTCTGAATTTCATGCTCTTAATCCTTCTTTTCTCTGTTTGGTAGCGCATCCAGTATGCCAAGACCGACTCAGATATAATTGCGAAGATGAAGGGCACCTTTGTGGAGCGGGACCGCAAGCGGGAAAAGAGGAAGCCGAAGAGCCAGGACACCCCCTCTGCCAAGAAAGCTGTACAGGGTGGGGCAGCTGCCCCTGTGGTGGGGGCCGTCCAGGGTCCTGTACCGGTAAGCCAGGGCCTAGAAACATTGCACCAAACACGCCTTAGCCATGTGGACTGGGTTGGAGGAATACTGGAGAGAGTTGTGTCTTTGGGGTTTCAGACCCCTTCCTTTCGTTTTTTTACAGAGATTATAAGTCTTTGCATCTTTTGGGGGTTGAGTATGTGAATGATGGTATCTACCCTCAGAGTGTCTGTCAGTGACGAGGGCTTTTCTCATGCCTGTTTTTCAATTTCTCTCTCTCTTTTTGACCTTGATTTTGCCATCTGTATCTTGTAAGTCAGTATCTGTGTAGAAGATCCAGGGGGAACCTTTTACCCAACTGTTAGGATTAATAATTGAATTTGCATTTAGAAGTTTCATATCCCCAGACTGGTCAGCCCGACACGTGGAGGGCACATGGTGGGCACAGGCTCTAAAAGACCGGAAGTGGGGGTCGTGGCCTGACCAGGCCCCGTGGAGGATGCTCATGTGGCTTGCTATTACATGCATACATAAGCATTCTTGTAGGGAGTGGCCAAATCTGAGCTAAATAAGTGACCTTTAAAGATGAGCAGAGCACAGACGCCCTCACTTGGGCTTGGGTGGATGCTGCACAGCCGGCAGAATAAAAGGAAACTGTTTCAGCCAGAGAAGGCCAGGTGGGGCTTATTTAGACTAAGGCATACAAGATGCTCCATGCCTGTAGTTGATAGTAGAAGACACCTGGCTTTACCTTCCGCTTCTCCCTTCCCCATTGTCCTATAAAAGAAGAATCCTGGGGAAAAAAAAAAAAAAAAGAATCCTGGGAAAGGCTCAGGGCCGCAGCGTTCTCCCTCAGAGGTGTCTGGTATGCCTGGTCCCTGCTTTTTTCTACTTGTGTGTCTGTGCCCATGTGATTGTTCTTTCCAAAATCTGCCGTCGCTCCCACTCTGGGGGGGTTCTCCTCTTCCCTTTCTGTCTAACACACTCCATCATAAAGGAGAAAATTTAAGAAGAGCAAAAAATTTCAGTTTTGTTTTTAGGTGACAGCAACAAATTAATAGATTTCATGTTGGAAAATACTCACCAAGTACCCTCTCTGAGGGTAGATACCATCATTCACATACTCAACCCCCAATAGCACCAAGCAGTAAATCCAGCAGGTGTGCAGGATCTCTACATTGAAACTACACAGAGTTGCTGAGAGAAGTCGGAGACCTCGGCAGTCCATTGGGAAGACTCAGTGTTGTTAAGGGGCAGTTCTTAGGGCCAGCAAGTGGAGTGGAGGTTGTGGCAGCTGGATCCCACATGGCGACTACTGTTCAAGTCCTGGACCCAGAGGCTAGAAAATCACACAGGACGTGTGTGCCCAAAATTCTTAAAGGAGATCGTGGAGGAGAAGGAATTGCAGCATGGCCATCTCCCCCCGGGGTGGGGGGGGGGTTTGAATTCTCTCCTTCCTTCTCTGTTTGGCAAACATATACTCCCTATAGTAAGCTTGAAAAAAGAAAAAGTCAGATCTCTCCAAACTGATCTAAGGTTAGTACAGTTGCAGTCAGAATTCCCCAGGAACTTTGGTACACATAGACTTGCTGTTTGTAAATGTCTGTGGAAAGGCAAGGTCAAGCCAGATGCGAAGAATAAAGCTGGTAGATCTGTGTAAGCAGTGATAAACACATTCTAAAACTCCAGCGATCAAGGCATGGTGCTGATGTCATAGTGTAGGAAGATGGCCGGGTAAGGCAGAATGAAGAGTTTAGAAAGGCCAGAAGTGATTACTTGATAGGTGAAACACTGCAATTCAGTAAGGAAAGAACTTTTCCCCCTGGTTAGTTGGGCAGTTATAAATCTGTAAAGGAAAATAGTAGCCCTACCTCGTACTGGATATGAAAACTCATTTGAGGGGAGTCAGACTTGATTGTGACAGCTAATACGGTAAAGTTTCTAGAAAACAGGAAGATGTCTTAATGATTTTAGCAACAGTATAAAAAGTGAAAACATCCTGTTTTCTATGCAGGATGCAAAAAGCTCTAAGAACTAGAGGAAAGGTAAGTGAATTGGACCCACTTTTTTTTTTTAATTTTTTAATTTTTTTATTTTATAGGGCATGTGCGCTCACCAGAGAGACAGACAAAAAGCTAGAAATCACCCCCCCCAGGGGGGTTGGCCATGCCACAGTCTCTTCTCCATTCTCTTCTTGGGATCTTGGGCACACATGCACACACGCTCAGTGTGAGTTTAAGCCACTGGGTCCAGGACTTGAACCGTGGTCAACTACATGGGAGTCCAGCGACATAGCCATTACACTAACTGCGGGTCCCTGGACCCACTCTTTTGGTCTCTGAGTTTTCCTGTCACTTTGGCTCTTAAAAGTGTCTCTGAGCCTCATGGTTCTTGGACTGGTTCATGCTCTGTTTGTTTTACCACTGCTAATGCCAGGTTACGTTTTTCTGTGGAGTTGGCAATGGGGTCTGGGGTTGTTACACTCTCTTCCCTGCACAAGCTTCCCACCTACTGTCAACTCCAGCTTTAACTCCAACTCCCTCTGCTATGTGCCTTTGGGCTGTCTTCTCCCTTTCACTGCCTCCCATTTCTGTCCATCCCCAACCATCCATTTCTATCTCTGCCTTCCACTGTCTTGTCTATTTTCCCTTGGTCTCTTGGTTTCTTTCTTAAAGGTTTTTTGTTTGTGGGGTTTTGGGTTTTTTTTTTTTTTTTTTTTTTTTTTTTAGATGAGAGTTTTTCGCTATAGGGAGTGGGTGTTTGTCAGAGAGACAGGGAGATGGAAAGTGAGAAATCACCCATGGGGGGGATGGCCACGCCGCAGTCCCTTCTCCTCAGTTCTCTTCTTGTGATCTTGCAGGCATGCACACACGCACAGCATGAGTTTAAGCCGCTGGGTCTGGGACTCGAACCACGGTCGGCTGCATGAGAGTCCAGTGACATAGCTGTTATGCCAACTGCTGGTCCCCTCTTTCTTAAAATTTTAAGTAAAGGTACAGTGTGCTCATTAGAATGTGTATTTCCCTGTCTTTAACAGTTACTAACATGGTGATTTCCTCACCCAGTCTTCTATTTATGTATCTATAAACAAAATTGAGTTACATTGTAATTTTCGGATCTTACAGGTTTCCTCCCCCGACCCTGGTTTAATGTCCCTTGGACCCTGAGTTTGTTTTGCTCTGTCTGGTTGTCTTACTGTTTTTAATTTATTTTTTCCAAGCCAAACTATCCAGCTTTATTAAAGATACTCTTCATAAACAGTCATGGTATTTCAGGCAGGACATGGGCAGACAGTTATTAACAGTATACAACAACTTTCAAACTCCCTTCTTCAATGGACTACCAAACTAAGAAAGCCACTATAAAACCCAATAAAGTCTTGGGACCAGCAGTTAGCGTAATGGCTATGTCACTGGACTCCCACGTAGTTGACCGCGGTTCGAGTCCCGGACCTGGTGGCTTAAAACTCACGCTGGGGGCGTGCCCAAGAGCCTGAGAGGAGAATGGAAGAGAAGGGATTGCGTCGTGGCCATCCCCCCTGGGCGGTGATTTCTCACTTTCTGTCTCTGTCTCTCTCTGTCTGGTGAGCGCATGTGCCCTATGGCAAAAACCTCTCCCTCACCACCACCACCCCCCAAAAAAAAAAAAACTCAATTAAGTCTTCATTTGATACTCTCAACAGGGAAAGTTTAGAGTGAGGGTTGACATTTCACATTTAGCATGTTTAGCAACTTTTCACGAGCCTACCCTGACTTTCGGGAAATGAAAATCGCAGAATTATCAACCTGCAGATCCAACAATACAGAAAAGCAACCTCTGCTCTTTTTGAAAGATGCCATCTCAATGTCATTGGAAAGTCCAGATTGCCTGACACACTGGCATAACCAATTTTTGTGGTCAGGTCCCCATAGGTCTCTGGTTAAAGGGAATTAAGTCTATGTTGAAGGCAGAGAGGGAGAGGACATAAGAGCAAATGTTAAGTTTTCTACACCACAAGGCATCTGTGCCAAGGTGGCTGTGTGTCAGGGAATCCCTCTTCTCGGGAGCCAAGAGGAAGTCTCAAAACTAGAAGGGAAAGATGTTGTCCAAATCAATCCAGCTTCAGAGACATTCTATTAGTGACAAATGCCCCTTCCCCAAGAAACAACCAATGAAGAGTTCTGTGTGCTAACAACATAGCTTAAAAAAAAAAGGTAAAACAAAATTCTGCATTTTTATAAAACTTGATAAAAATAGTATTTCAAACTGTGCAGTCACCAGAAGTACACAGCTATCAAAAATGCACGCACTTCACTTGGCATCTCCAGCACCTTCAGCTTTCTGTGCCTGGTCTGTTTTGGCATCTCTGTTTTCTGCAGGGTTGTTCCCATCCTTGCCAGCATCAGCTTTTCCCTTTTTTCCTTTGGGTACCTTCTCTCCCTTCCTTGCAGGGGCCTTTTTAGGCTTGGGCTCTGGCTTTGGAGGAGCAGGTTTCGCAGACAACCTTGCAGATCTTCTCTGTGGTTCGTTCTTCACCTTGGCTTTATCTCCTTCAGCCTCCCCTTCAGCCTTTCTCTTGGGCATGGTGGTGACGACGGCGGGATGTAGGCACTGGAAGTGGGGCATGCAGTGGTGCGCAGGCTTTGGTCGGTCTGGGGATTGCTTTCACCTCCTCCTCTTCACACTGCTCCCAGTTGTCTTATTATTTTTAAGATTTTTTGCCATAGGGTATGTGTGCTTGTGGGCAGCGGGGACACAGCGACAGAGGGAAAGTGAAAAATACCCCTCACCCCTCCAGAGGTGACCATGCAGCAGTCACTTCTGCATTCTCCTTTCGGGATTTTTGGGCACACATGCACCTGGCATATTTTTTAAGCTACCAGGACTTGAACCTTGGAGTCGGCCATGTGGGATCCAACACCTTCACCACCATGTTACTTGTTGCCCTCCCCCCTTTATGTTCAACTTCCTTCTTACCATTTATTTATTTCCTCCATGATAGAGAAGCAAACAGACAAGCACTTCCAAGGGTCTATGAAGCCTCTACTACCCTGAGGGCACTGCCATCCCGCATCACGAGTACATACGTGCCCATTGTGTACAGAGAGGCTCCAGGATGTAAACCGGGGACCTTCCCATCTGGGTCCAGTAGCATGGAGTGTTATGTTAACTGCTATTTAACTGCTGTGCCACTTGGCTATCCATTTGAGTACCTTCTTCACTTTTCTTTCTTTCTTATTTAATTTTTCTTTTCTTTTGATAGAGCAATTCCATGCACATGTCAGTCAGCGAGAGAGATGAGCACACTCCACTAGGTTTGGGCATGCATTAGTCATCTTTTTCTAGTCTAGCAGCCTGGCAAGTCCTGGGCAATTGGTTCTTGCCCACCATGATATGGGCTGACCAGGCTGGAGATTTGAACAGTGGTTGCCATGTGGGTCTAACTTCTCACAAGCAGCACATTACCACTGCACCATGGAGCATATTGCAAGTCTGTGTCTTCTTGTGCCTCTCACCCCTGGTTTCCTCTGATGGCCTTTTTACCTCTGCCTCTTGCAGCTTCATAACTATACCTTCTCCCCCCTACCATGAGTCAGCCTTGCCTTTCTCCTTCACAGGGTATGCCACCGATGACACAGGCACCCCGCATCATGCACCACATGCCGGGCCAGCCTCCCTACATGCCACCCCCTGGCATGATACCCCCGCCAGGCCTTGCACCAGGCCAGATCCCACCGGGCGCCATACCCCCACAGCAGCTTATGCCAGGACAGATGCCACCTGCTCAGCCTGTAAGTGTCTAGATCCCCTAAGGTCTCATAGTCAGAACACAGGAGTAGAAAGGGACTGATGGGAGTCTATGTAGGTTGGATAGTCTGGGCAGGTCTCCTTAAGGAGCTGCTATTAGAGCCGAACTCCCCGAAAGATAAGAATGTGGTGGTGGGAGAGCATGCTTGCTGGCAGTGACCAGTGAGGCTGAAGCAGTGACCAGGACCTAGATTGATTTCATGGACCTCTGCTGAGTGCTCTTTCATGCATCAAACCTTCGCTGTGCTCCAGTGATGCAGCAGTGACCTGACCAGGAAAGTATCTGCTTGCTGTCTTGTGGCCCATGGTCTGGGGTCAAAGGCAGGGGTGGCCAGGGATGGTGTGTCAGTGGGAGATGTTAGAGCTCCAGTAGGGTGAGGATGAGTATCAGAGGGCAGGACTGGATTCCTCACTAGATGAAGAGGTCCGGCACTCATGAGCTCCTGTGTTTGCCTGCAGCTTTCCGAGAATCCACCAAATCACATCTTGTTCCTTACCAACCTGCCAGAAGAGACCAACGAGCTCATGCTGTCCATGCTGTTCAACCAGTAAGTGGGGTCTGTGGCTGGAGGATGATAGCCCCATGGAAATGGGCCTCGGAATTCAATTGGCGGAGCCCTAAGGCAACTTGTGCTTTGCAAGAGAAAAAAACAACCAAAGATTTAAAGGGAAGAGGCTATGCCAGCTAGGGGCATGGCAGGTAAAACAGCTGAATCCCACATGGCTGACTATGCAGCTCAAATCCCGTACCTGGTGGCTTGAAAAAACACTGTGCACATGTGTGTGCATGTCTGCCCAAAATTTTGAGAGAATAGAGGAGAAAGGATTTGCAGCATGTCCATCCTTTCTGGAGGCTGGAGGGGGTGGGAGTGCGGGTGGCTTTTTCATTGTCTTTCTCTGTCTCTGGCAAGTGCATGCACCCTGTGGCAGATTTTAAAAAGAGAGGAAGCTGAGACTGTGCCCACAGTCTCAGTGGGACAGTATAGTGGCGATGGGGCTGGAGGGGCTGCTGTAGCCAGAACACAACTGCCCTTCCTCAGCCTTTTTTTTTTTCTCTCTCTTTTTTGGAGATGTTTTTGTTATAGGGCGTGTGCGCTCACCAGAAAGACAGAGAGAAACAGACAAAGCGAGGAATCACCCCCCCCCCAAGGGGGATGGCCACGCCACAATCCCTTCTCTATTCTCCTCTCAGGATCTTGGGCACGCATGCACACGCGCCCGGTGTGAGCTTAAGCTACCAGGTCTGGGACTTGAACTGCAGTCGACTACATGGGAGTCCAGCGACATAGCCAACTGCTGGTCCCCCTTCCTTGGCCTTTGTGGGAGTCAGGGGCCATTCAGGCTCTGGGCCTCATTTTTCCAGAGTCTGAAGTAGAGAAGTACAATGCAAGATGTGTATGTAAGATGCCAGCCAGGCATCACTGAACACTGGCTGGATTGGCAAAAATCAGCATACTCAGGAACAGCAGGTGTGGGAGGTGGAGTACGTGAACTCAAGTACCCTGCCAAGGGGACTAAGAAAGACTGGGGTGACTGTCATGAAGAAGGTGCTGTTTGCTGTTAAGTAGTTAGAGGTGTAGGTGCAGGTGATTTGTGTGGTGGTTCTGCTTCTGATCATATGTCCTATAAAAACTCTGGACCATAGTCTCATAGGGCTGTGCATGGGGCTTGGGGTAGGGAGTTGGAGGCAACCTGGAAGAAGAGATGGGTTAAAACAGTGCCTGTGTTGTGAGAAACTGATAGAGAAAGGTTACCCATGAGCAAGGTTTTCTAGTGAAGACAGAAGTAAGGCATGAGAAGGGAGAATTGAACAGCATATCCTAGTGGTAAGGATGGTGGTTGTTCTGGAACAACAGTAGGTTGTGGTTGGGGAAAGACATGGTCTTCAGTGTTCAGGCTGTATCTGCATGGATTGTATGTTGAAGTTTTTTACTAACTGGCCTATGTATATGAGAGTTTCTCAACAGCACTGTGTGCATTTGGGGCCAGGTAATTCTTTGTTTTGGGATGTTCTGTACACTGTATGGTGTTCAACATCGTCCCTTGCTTGTACCCTCTGGGTGTCTTGTCACCTAGACAAGACATTAGGTAGAAATGCTCAGTTTGGATCCCTGAGATCTGTTCTCTTCTCTCAGGTTCCCTGGCTTCAAGGAGGTCCGTCTGGTACCCGGGCGGCATGACATTGCTTTTGTGGAGTTCGACAACGAGGTGCAGGCCGGGGCCGCCCGTGATGCCCTGCAGGGCTTTAAGATCACCCAGAACAACGCCATGAAGATCTCCTTTGCCAAGAAATAGCACTTTTCCCCCATGGCTACCCCTGCCCCTGTTCTGGGATCCCCTTCCCCCTTTGGCTCAGCCCCCTGAAGGTAAGTCCCCCTTGGGGGCTTTCTCGGAGCCGTCTGTGAATGAGTGGTCGCCACACAGCATTGTACCCAGAGTCTGTCCCAGACATTGCACCTGGTGCTGTTAGGTTGGAATTAAAGTAGTTTTTTGCGGTTTGCTTTTTTTCACAATTGTTTGTCTGTTTTATTTTCTTGATTAACCATGATTTCTTTCCTTCTACATCAGGACATCTTAGGTTTTTGGACCGCTTAGCATTTCGAAGTTTGTAACCTTGGGAAAACAGACTTATGTAGTAAAGTTGTCCAAACTTGAGTTATATTTACTGCTTTGGTATTTATTTATTTTGTCTAAATCAGCATTTAGGACAAAAACTGAAAAACTTAGGGCCACATGTACATTTAGGCAGGTTCAAGGATGCCATCTTTCAGGGCACACCATTCACTTTGTCGACTTATATGTTCATCTTAACTTTTTTTTTTTAAATAATTATTTATTCATTTATTTTTTAAAATTTGACCAGAGAGAGATAGGGTGAGAGTGAGAGAGAGAGGAAGTGAGAAAGCAAGCTACCAGCTTCAGGACTCGACCCTGGTCGGCCATGTGGGAGTGTCCAGTGCCTTAACCACCACAGCACCTGCTGGTCCCTTAACAGGGTTGTTTTAAAGAGAGATTTTTACTATAGAGTGTGTACACTGATCAGCGAGACAGAGAGAAATCACCCCCCTGGGGGGATGTCCACACCACAGCCCCTTCTCCATTCTCCTCTATGGATTTTGGGCATGCATGCACACGTGCCAGAGATGAGTGTTAACTTTATTTATTTATTTTAATTTGACCAGAGAGGGACAGAGAGAGAGAGAGAAAGTGAGAAAGCAAGCTGCCAGGTCCAGAACTCAAACTATACTTAGCCATGTGAGAGTCCAGCACCCTTATCCACCATGCCACCTGCTGGCCCTGAGAGAGAGATTTTTGTAATAGGGTGCATGTGCTCACTAGAAAGACAAAGTGACAAAGTGAGAAATCACTGCCGGGGGGTGGGGGCGCCGGGGGCTGATGGCCATACCACAGTCCCTTCTCCATTCTCCTCTTGGGATTTTGGGCATGCATGCACACTCACCCGGCGTGAATTTTAAGCCACAGGGTCCCAGACTCAAACTGCAGTCAACTATATGGGAGTCCAGTGATGGAACTATTAGGCTCTCTGCTGGTCCCACTTTACCTTTTCCTTTTTTCAAAAAAATTTTTAAATTTAGCTTTATTTATTTAATTAATTTATTTGACCAGAGAAAGAGAGAAAGAAAGTGAGAAAGCAAGCTGCCAGGTGTGGGACTTGAACCATTGTCAACCATGTGGGAATCCAGCACCCCAACCACCACGCCACCTGCCAGCCCCCCTACTTTTCCTTTTTCTGATCATTCAAAAGTGCTGTCATAGCAAGAGTCCCACCGGACCATTCTAGGTAGGTACTTCAGTCCGATCTCGTATAGGGAGCCTGTTGATCCTGAAATCATTGGAAGGACGGAACGGTAGTTTGATTTTGAGATACTGAGTTCAAGTTTGCAGCCCCTGATTGAGCTCTGATGTAGAGTTCAATATGATGCCATAGTTGCTTCCAGGAGTACCTAAATGCTCTTCACACAAGTGAGCTGCTGATCAGTTGCTAGTACAGGGGCATGGCCACCTCAAACACAACTGATGCCATGGGACCCTAGCATCGAGGGCACTGCAGGGGAGTCTCAGCAGTCTATAGTTTATACCTGGGTAGCCATGTATCCAAGAGAAACTCTAAATTAGAAGGGAAGATTGAATAACAGGGACCCTCTTTAGCAGTCTGTCAGATACCCATTTTAGAGTTTCTATAGGGGCCAGCAGGTGGCATGGTGATTAAGGGTGCTGGACTCCCACATGGCCGACTACAGTTTGAGTTCCAGACCTGGTGGCTTGCTTTCTCACTTTCTGTCTCTCGCTTTCACTCTGGTTCTGTTCCTCTCTGGTCTAATAAAAATAAAAATAAATGAATAAATAAAGTCACATAAAATAATTCTTTTTAAAAAGTTTTTTTTTAAATAATTATTTTATTTTATTCATTCATTCATTTGTTTTTTAATTTGACCAGAGAGAGACAGGGTGAGAGAGAGAGAGAGGAAGTGAGAAAGCAAGCCACCAGATTCAGGACTTGAACCCTTGTCAGCCATGTGGGAGTGTCCAGCACCTTAACCACCATGCCACCTGCTGGTCCCTTTTTTAAAAAGTTTTTAGTGACTCAACACTTATAAAGCCAACCTAGTGATTGAGAGAGCTGTGGCCCACATGGTCGATCATTTGCACGTTGTAACCCTGGCATCTTGAAAGAACTTCAGGTGTGTGTCTATATATACCCTAAGCTAAAGGGGTTGTGATGTGACCATGCCCTACTGAGTATTGAGGGGTACTTTCTCCTTCCTCTTTTTCTCTCCCTCTGGTAAATATAGCAGATGGTGTGGTGGTCGAGGTGCTGGACACTCCCACATGGCCGACCATGGTTCAAATCCTGAACCTGGTGGATTGCTTTCACACTTTCTGTCTCTCTGGTCAAATTAAAAAATAAGTGAACAAATAAATTAAGTAAATAATCCTAAAAAAATTATTTAAAAAAAAAGGGGGGGTAATGAGGGCCAGCAGGTGGTAAAGTGGTTAAGGTGCAGCATTCCCCACGGCCGACCATGGTTTAAGTCCCAGACCTGGCGGCTTTCTCACTTTCCCTCTTTCCCCCTCTCTGTGTCTGTCTCTGATGAGTGTATATGCCTTATAGCAGATTATATAAATAACAGTAATAATATAATAAAGTCAAATAATTTAAAAAGGGAGGTAACGACCAGCCCACTGGTTAAGGAGGCTGGATCCCACATGGCCAACCAACCCCATGGACTGAGTTCCAGAACCAATGGCTTGAAAAACATGCCAGGCATTTGTGCACATGTGTCCAATATCCCCAAAAAAATGGAGGAGAAGGGATTGTAGTGTGACCATCTCCCATGGGAGAGGCTTTCTCACTTTTCTGTCTCAGGCAAGCACATGCCATGTAAAGCAAATTTTAAAAAAAAATGTTTATTAGACCATGAAAATGGAAAAATGAGATCATTTAGTAGAAGTAGAAAATTTACCACAAAAATAACAATAAGACATGCTAAATTGGATATTTGCGACCAGGGTTCTCAGCCTAGTCCTGTTCCTGTTCTGCTCTTTGCGTTAAGATGGAGTATCTGCATCAGTATTAGAGGTGATGGAGAACCGAGCACCCTGTGCAGACTTCCCTTATGCTCTGAAAGATCTGGAGGAAAAAGCTCGCCATCTTCACTAAATGATGTGCTATGTTGATAGGTGAATCCATGCTATTGTCTTACCCCCAGCACTAGCACCCACTGATGGCTGTTAAGTAAATGGGTTATGGTCAGGTGATCCTGGTTTCTATTATGGGGATACCATAGTTGTTACCCCATGGACAATTAATGACCTTTGAATTTCATTTTCTTTCTGTGCAAAGAGGAATCCCCCATATTTATAAAAAGATTTATGGATCAGCTCCATGATTTGGTGCTTGGAGCAGGTGGATCCCACATGGCCAACCACAACCGTCCCTGAAAGGGATAGAAGGGGACTGTGGTGTGACCATTCCCCGTGGGGGAACTTTCTCTTCTCCCTCTCTGTGGCAAGTCCACGTGCCTTCTAGCAACAAAGAGATAAAAGTGTTTTTTCTTCATAATAGGAGTACCTGCATGTGAGAGGGAGGAGTACTTCTACAGGGTCTGGTGAGGTTGTGGTCTCCTTTCTCTAGTCCTCCAGCCTGTGGGGTCTTGTGCCCCACATATTTCAGGCTGACCTGGCCTGCAATTCGAAGTGGTCCTTACGGAATCTGGCATCTCTTAGTAGTGCATTGCTGCTCCATAGGATTGGCTCCCTTTGCTATGTTGATATGACCATGTCTGCATTCACTATCCCCTTTACCTGCAACACACACACTCCCAGCTACTTAGTAAGCACTTACAAATTTGGCAAATATTTGTTGTATTGTGTGCTAAGTAACTGTTCTAGGGATAAGGTGTGCAGTGGTGAATATAATAGACAAGCTAATTTCAAATACTGTCTTCTGATGAAAACAATTGTGATGTCAAGGAGTGGGGCCTGGAAACAGTAATCAAGAAAATAGTGATGGGGCTGGCAGGTGGCATGGTGGTTAAGGCACTGGACACCCACATGGACAATTGCAGTTCTAGTCCTGGACCTGGCGACTTGCTTTCTTGCATCCCCTTTCTCTATCTCTCACTAGTCAAATTTAAAAAGTGATAAAAAAAATAATTATTTTTAAAGTTGATTTAATTTTACTCATTATCATTATTTTACTTTTATTTTTATTTTTTTAAGTTGACCAGAGAGAGACAGAAGGAAAGTTAGGAAGCAAGTTGCCAACTCTAGGACTTGAACTGCAGTCAGCCATGTGGGAGTCCAGCTACCTTAACCACCATGCCACCTGCCAGCCCCTAAAATAATTATTTTTAAAGAATAAAAAAAGGGACCAGCAGATGGCATAATGGCTGTCACTGGACTCCCACATAGTGGCTTAAAACTCACGCCAAGCATGTGTGTGCGCATTCTCAAAGTCCCAAGGGCAGAATGGAGAATCCCGGGGGGGTTTCTTGCTTCCCATCTCCCTGTCAACTTCATGTGCCCTATAACTAAAATCTCTTTCTTGGACTGGAAAAAAAAAAAAATTGGGGGACGGCCAGTGGCATGGTGGTTAAGTGGGCTGAAAGTCGAACTCCCACATGGCCAACCGCAGTTCAAGTCCCAGACCTCACAGCTTGTTTTCTCACTTGCTCTCTTTTTCCCTCTCTGGTCAAATTTAAATAAATAAATAAAGTTAATAAAATAATTCTTTTAAAAAGAAAACAGTGGTCAAGGAAAATGAGGGGCTAAGTGGGTTGCAGTGGTGACAAATGTGGGAGAGGTCCCAAGTTTGTGTGTGTGCGTGCACCTGTGATCTGGATCAGAGACTAGATTGTGGCGTGAAGTACCCACTGGATTCCTGTCTGTTTCCTGAAGAAATAAGGCAAAAAAAGAAATAAGTAAAAAAAGGAAAGCCCCTCCAAAAAGATACTTTTTTTTTTTTTTTTT